CCCTGACCTGACCGCCCGCCCGCAGGACCTGCGGCATCCAGCACCTGGAACGGGCGGGCGAGAACCTGTCCCTCCTCACATCCTTCTACTTCTGCATCGTCACCTTCTCCACCGTGGGCTACGGCGACGTGACGCCCAAGATCTGGCCGTCCCAGCTGCTGGTCGTCATCATGATCTGCGTGGCCCTCGTTAGCAGCAGCTGTGGGAGCACGTGAGGCACGCGGCCAGCGCCCAGCACTTCCCCATCACACCTGTCACCAAGGCCAGTCTGCGGCTGACGTGGGAAGCAGGCGAGAGCCTAGCCCAGTGCCCACCCGTGCGTAGGCCCAGCAGGGGCCAGCTGGTCTGTGCTCGGGGCGGGGAGAGGGCCCCCAACTGCAGCCATCGGCCAGTCCACCAGGGGGTCCTCTGCTGCCCTGAGCTTTCCCCAACCTTGTAGCTCAGAGCCCTTCGCTGCCCCCCCATGGCCCCCGCTCCCCCCTTGTCCAGAGCACAGCCCCGTCCACGGCAGGACGGCCTGCCTGTGCCAGGGACACCTGAGCCGCGGAGGGCCCGAGAGGCAGCCTCACCCCATTTTCCTCCCGGGACCTTGTCAGGGGGGCCTCGGGCTCAGCCTCCCCACCTCCCTCCACCCCACGGCCACCTCCCCTTCCCTGGACCCCTCCCTCCGCCTGCAGACAGGGAGTGAGGCGGTGGAGAGAGGCCGGGGTGGGCCAGCACCAGGCAGCTCTGCCATGAGCACTTTTAAAGAAAAACCCTCACCCAAGGATGTTTTTATTGACTTTAGAGAGAGGAAGGGAGAGGGAGAGAGAGAGAAACATCGATGTGAGAGAGGAGCATCGATCAGTTGCCTCCCCCAGGCCCCCGAGTATGTGCCCTGACTGGGAATCAAACCCGTGACCCTTCGGTGCACTGGGCGATGCTTCAGCCAACGGAGCCACGCCAGCCAGGACCGCCACGTGCCCCTTTAGTACCTGTCATTTTCCTCATTTAAAACGACTCCCAACCTGAACCTCACACCCGGGAGGCGGGGCCTGGTGGGCGGGTCCCAGACCTGCAGCCCCCATCGCCCACCTGCTGACGTGGGCCCGGGGCCGTGGTCCTGAGTGTCCCTTGGTGCCCGGAGCCTGG